TTCGTACAGTTCTCGCGTTGTTCTCGCGATATCCAGGCAATTCTATGAATTCCTGTGAGTGTTCCGAAAGTGTAGTGTTGTGCTTTAATGCAGTGACCATGTGAGTGTCCTTTGGATACAGTTCTCGGCCTCCACGGATTAGCTGCACCAGCTCCGGTGAGTCTCCCAATTTATTAATTGGTGAAAGGATGTCGATAGATAGTTAAGATTCGTTCTGATACGTTCTCGGTTCGTCGCTCTCTGTCTCTCGCACTATTTGTCGGACTCTTACTCCGACCCTCTCTACCTCAAACCTAGCAGCCTGACCGGCCGTGCATTTCCGTAACCGTCCGCTCCCGTTCGTGTTCGTGTATCAGCGTTTGCTGATTTTACGCGTCCCCAAAAACCGACAGGATCCGTTAAGCTATCGCCTCGTCCGATAGGTTCCGTCAGAGTTCTCGTTCTTGGTGGAGTTGGGACTGTTCCACCCCAACTCCCAGTTTATACCGGCTCGTCAGTTCCCGGTGGAAAAAGAATTGGCTGGTGCCCGCCTGGCTTGCGGATGCACGAACGACGGGTGGACGGCCGAAGGTAATGTAGGTTGGTTCTCGAAGATAGTTCGTTCTCGTATATTTTGCTATCGGTTTCGGGTCACGAAAAAGAAATACGTTACAATATATATACATATATATGTTTTGTAGTACATATGTGTCACCAAACGATCGGCGGCGCTTATTTATCGTGCATATGTATCGTCAACGACGTACTTAAGTATCTAATAATAAGTATATCGGTGTGGCTCAGGAGCAAGGCATAAATGAGAATACACTGCCAACAATAATAATATCAACACCAACAACAATAGCAAGAACAACGACAACAACTATAACAGCAAGAAGAGCAAGAACAGTTGACATGCTTATTAATTTCTCAGACGTCTTTTTCCCTTTAACGTGTTGCATGGTGTCTGTGTATACGTGTTTCTTCCCGCACGAAAAAAGTGATGGTAATGAAAAATAATATGATAATTAAGTAGAAGGTGAATGATAAATGTTAAATGATAAAATTTGGACAAGTGGCAGAGCGGCCAGAGGAGGACTTACGCGAGGACTTGTTCTTGTTGTTGGTGTGGGTTGTCACAATCGGTGAACTGTCCATTTTGCAGTGCACTGTGAACAACACAACAACCAACAAACTAATTGACAATCAGCAAACAAAAAAGTGTAAGAATTCGAAAAGGAAGGGTCTTTCAACTAATACCTAATATATTTACAATGCTAATTGTTCATGACAGCAGGTGCCATTGCGCGCGTGAGTCTGGCAGTCTCAAGAGAAATGAAAAATCTTCTGACTATCGGGCAGAAAGCGTTTTTAAGTTCAGTTTCGAACAATAAGTCAAGTTTATGACACTTCGCATGCAACTGACAAAGAAAAACCCTGTCGACTATTGGAAAATTTGGCAAGTCCCGCGTCTCATAAAATCTTAACGAGGATGGAAGCGTATTTCGTGTACGGCGGTTTGTCTGTCGGTAGGCGTCTGTTCTCTAGCTTCTAGCTTTGATCCTCTTCGCCTTAGGCCCTTCTCACAACGTGCAATACAGTAACGGCCGTGTGACCTACGTGCCACGAATAACGAGAGAACTCTGCTAAGAATTTACGCAAAACACGAAAATATTCGTTGGAATTACGGTGACGTCCATGCAACAACAACAACATCGTGCAACAAGCGGTGCGCTGTTAATACGTATACGTTGAATAAATGAAGGAACGAACTCACAATAAAGAAGCGTGTACAAGCAAAGATAGAGACGGAAAAAGAAGAACAAAGAGCAAAGAAGAAAAGAGAAGATGATGTAAGAGAAGAAGCAAAGAGAAAATCTTCTAATAAAGTTAAACTCTTTGAGGTGTTGGAGAAGACTTACTGTACGTCACAACTAGTCCTGTAGTAGCAGGCGATTGTGTACATTGTTTCATGGGTTTGTTCATGGGTTTTCATGGAGGCAGGTTCGAGAGATTAGGGGGATCGCACATGAAAAGAAAGAATCGAAAGAATTTGGTTAGAAATGATGCTCTTAAGCTGCGGGCCAAATTGGTAAATTTTGAGGTGTGGCGATCTTGTGGCACAATATTCATTTGACATGGCAATTTTTTCTTGTTCCTTGTCTTGCTTCCTGGTCTCTCGGATTTCGGGGCTATGGGTGGGCTGTAGGGGGATCTGTGACTAACAGTAGGCTGATACGGGTGGTGAGAGACAGGACTGATACTATATGCGTATTAACGAAATATTAGTTGACAAGACATAAGGGCGTAGTGAAAGACAACTGTGTGTACAGTAGAGATACATATACATATCTAGGTAGGTCGATATAAATAATATATGACTATATGTTATATGTATAGATACATACGTAAGGGTCTGTGGGGTTT